CCGCAGCGTCGACATCAATCCAACGCTTTCTGAAGCGAACAAGCAGCGTTTGAGCGAGCTGTTGCTAGAGTTCTACACATGCTTTGCACGTTCATCGAACATACGTCAAACACCGATAACAAAACACCGTATTATCACCTACGACGACGCACATCCCATACGGCAGCAGCCTTATCGTGTTTCGCCAACCGAACGGCACGCGATTCAAACGCAGGTTAAGGAAATGCTTCAGGATGGCGTGATACAGCTTTCAAGCAGCCCTTAGTCATCACCAGTCGTTCTTGTGAAAAAGAAAGATGGCACGCTTCGCTTTTGTGTCGACTACAGAAAGTTGAACAATGTCACAAAGAAAGACGTGTACCCGTTGCCCAGAGTCGATGATTCTTTGGACAAGCTGCGACGTGCGAAGTATTTTTCGTCCGTCGACTTAAAGAGCGGTTATTGGCAAATAGAGGTCGATGAACGTGACCGGGAAAAGACCGCTTTTGTAACGCCGGATGGACTTTATGAATTCAAAGTGCTCCCTTTCGGCCTCTGCTCCGCTCCAGCCACATTCCAACGAATGATGGACACCATCCTGGCAGACCTCAAGTGGAAAAGCTGTCTCGTCTGCCTCGATGGTGTCGTTGTGTTTTTAGAAACGTTTGAAGAACATCTTCGTCGCCTTCGGAATGTGCTCGAAGCCATTAGATCGGCCGATCTCACACTCAAGCCTGAGAAATGTCATTTCGGCTACGAAGAATTAAAGTTTCTTGGTCACGTCGTGAGCGCCGTTGGTGTTCGGCCTGATCCTGACAAAACTGATGCCGTCACCGCTTTTCCACCTCCAACAGACAAGAAAAGTCTTCGACGGTTTCTGGGTCTGTGCGCGTATTACCGGCGCTTTATTGAAAATTTATCCAACAATGCGGAGCCACTATTACGCCTCACGCGTGATGATACACCATTTGTCTGGGCTGACGACCAGCAGACTGCCTTTGCGGAACTACAGCACCGGCTCTCTTCCCCTCCCGTGCTCGGCCACTTCGATGAAGATGCTGACACAGAAGTACACACTGATGCCAGCAATATCGGTCTTGGAGCTGTTTTGGTACAAAGACAAGATGGCATTGAACGGGTAATAGCCTAACGCAAGTCGCACACTGTCTCGCGCGGAATCTAACTATTCCACATCAGAAAAAGAATGTCTCGCGGTCATTTGGGCAATAACAAAGTTTAGGCCATATCTCTATGGAAGACCATTTAAAGTGGTGACTGACCATCATGCTTCGTGCTGCTTGACCAATCTACGAGACCCTTCAGGAGGATTAGCACGATGAAGTCTGCGCCTACAGGAATTTGATGTCACCATCATGTACAAGTCAGGCAAAAAGCACGAAGACGCCGACACGCTATCACGACCACCTCTTCAATCCGCCAGTACTAGCGCAGAAGAGGACGGCGCCTTCGTGGCAACTGTCAGCGGACCGGATCTGATGTCTCATCAACGAAATGACGCCGATCTAAGAATGATTATTGATCATTTAGAAGGTGGCACCGCGCCCATTCCTCGTCCAATGTCGCGAACGTTGCCATCATTTTGCCTACGAATTGGCGTCCTATACAAAAGGAACGCCGGTGCTGGTGACAGATCTCATCTTCTCGTCGTGCCTAAAGCCCTCCGCGATGACGTCTTATTAGCTTGCCATGACGAGCCCACATCTGGCCATCTGGGCTACTCGAGAACTATGGATCGGGTGCGGCAACTCTACTACTGGCCTAAAATGTCTGCCTGTGTCAAACGCTACGTGAAGGGATGCTGTGAATGCCAGCGTCGCAAGACACCACATTTAAAGCCTGCAGGTCACCTACAACCGATCGATCCACCACGGAACAAGTGGGTATGTACCTCCTAGGCCCGTTTCCTTTGTCTTCTTCTGGCAACAAATGGATTATTGTCGCAACCGATTATTTGACGCGTTACGTCGAGACGAAGGCGTTGCCACGAGGGACCGCGTCTGAAGTTGCCAGTTTTTTTATGCATCAAATTGTGCTACGGCATGGTGCCCCGTCATATGTCATCACTGATCGAGGGACATCGTTCACAGCGAAACTTTTGGATGATATCTTCAGGTTGAGTTACACAACCCATCGAAAGACCACTGCGTATCACCCTCAGAGTAATGGTTTACCAGAAAGGCTAAACAACACGCTAGGCGACATTATTTCTATGTACGTGGATGTGCAGCACAAAACGTGGGACGACATCCTGCCGTACGTAACATTTGCGTATAACACTGCAACGCAGGAAACTACACGCTTCACGCCATTCCGACTCGTTTATGGTCGAGATGTTAGAACTATGCTGGACGCCATGATTCCATATGAGGACATCGACAAGCTCGACCAATTAGCCCCCGACATCAATGAGTACATTCAGCGCGCTGAGGAAGCACGTCAACTGGCCCGTGTGCACATCCTAACTCAACAGTGTGCAGATGCACGGCGGTACAACATCCACCATCGAAAAGTTTATTATGAACCTGGTGACCAAGTTTGGGTTTGGACACCCATTAGGCGGCGAGGTCTCAGTGAGAAACTCTTGAGGAAGTACTTTGGACCTTACAAAGTACTCAGACGTGTGAGCGACGTGAACTACGAAGTGGTTCCAGACGGAGACTCACCATCATCACAGCGCAGGTTACCACGTCCAGAGACTGTACCCGTAGTCCGCCTAAAACCATACTTTACGCGGTGATGCGAATTTTCTTCTTGTGCCAGTGAACTCTTCGTGTGAAGAGTGAATGCCGTTTATTTCCGATTGCCGGGCCCAGGACGCATTTTCTCTCGTGCACTAATTTGTTTAATGTTTTTTTTTGTGTTACCTACTTCGACCCACGGCTGTGCAGACTTTTGTTTGAGCATCGGGTCGATGCTCTCTAGGGAGGAGGAGTAATGCCACCTGGTATTCTGTGCCAGTGAACAGTGGGTCAGTTCTGTGCCGGTGAACGAGGAAGTCGAAGACGAGCAACCCGTGCCAGCGGAGACGTCCTTCTTGGTCTCTGAGATTTTTGACAGTCGCGTCCCTTTATACGTTCCTTCGAGCTCTTAGCACGTG